CTTTCTGTAAGTTAAACGAACCGAACTGCGTTAATGGGGCTTCACTGTTGGGAGTCAGTGGGAGCTGAGCCTGTGAAGCAGAAGGTGCCTGGAACACTCCAAGGACATAGGCCGAGTTGGCTGCTGTGCAGCCTCTCTTGGCAGGTACACCTCTGGTGAGCTAACTCTTCGGAGACAGGTGATGTATGCTGCCTCTTGGACTTCATTCAGCGTGAGGCTGGACAGCTGCACTGCACTGCAGCAAGCCAGTCTCAGTCCACTGATGACTGTGTGTCTCAGGCTTTGGTGTGTCAGTGCATCAAAAAGAATTTGCCTTTTTCAGCTCTCCGACACTAGAAGAAGTTTCTGTGAGTAATTATCCCGTGGCAACTTTTTTTACCACAGAGAGTGTGCCATCAAATGCTTAATTCTTTTCAGGATTAACATTCAGATCCTCGAAGACAATAATGTTTTAGCAATTTGTACACTCAGATCTTCAGTAACACAGAAATATCTCAGCATTGAGGGAACATTACTGATGGACCTTGCAGAGATTTCTGAAGTGTGAAGACAAAAGATGAAAGATAAAGAACATGTGCAAAGAGATTCAAAAAGGAGTCAGCCTGTCTAGGAGGGGCAGAAGTTGGATTTTATATGGAAGTTCATTGAAGACTTCCACTGTTGAACAATGGAGGATCGTGAAATGCCATGAGTTCCTGAATACCATGGAGGAATTACTCTGAGTCGAGTTTAATGCTTTAACTTTTTGCTCTCATGACCCACAGCATGTGGAACACTGCTGTGTGGATGCTTGAGCCTACTTCAGGTGGCAGAATCACCTTATCCCAGCTTCCTTCAGAAAGCCAAGGTCACTAGATCCCCACAGGAATAATGAAAGGTCTCTGAAAAAGATAAACAACGTAGTCCTATGAAGGATTTAAGTCTCTGCTATGCAATCAGCCAGTGAAAACATGGAAAATAGTAGCCTGTTCTGGAATGATTTTCTGTATTAAGATAGTGACAAGTGGCTTAAGAACTTTTCAGGATCATTCTGTGCTGTTATTACCCCTCCCGTTGCTTCAACATTTGTGCAGATGCCCAGATGACAATGGCAGAGAAGCAAATGGTCAGACAGTCAGCTGGGTTCATGTGCATGGTGTTTTTCACGTGTGCTATAGTTACCTTACTACCGTCACAAGCGAAAAGTGTGCTTGTTGAACTAGCAGTATGTCAAATACGGGACAGGCATCCAGAAGGTAGAAGAGCAGGCCTGACTTCTTCCCATCACAAACCCCTATTTCTTTTAGCTTAATGCAGCAAAACAGCTATCTTGCATAGCTGTGAAATTAGATTCAACTGCCCCTAGATTATAGCCTTTCTCAAGAAATTAGAGAATGTATAAGACGTCATAAGATGTGAATATTAAACTAAAGACTTTCTTAATCTACAGTGTCTGTTTCACAATGTCTTGATACTTTTCTAATCAATTTTCTTTGGTTTTTTTTCCTAAGAGAAAAAGCTTGGCAGTACCAGTTTAGCTGAAAATGTAATATGTCTATTTATTATTTTTTTAAATCCATTAGAACAAAGACGGCAAAAAGTTGAAGAATATTTGTCAAGAAAAAAGACCTTTTCTGGCATGCCCATTCAAGAAAACCAGACTTCGATCAGGTAGTATTTCTGCTATGGTTTACATTCTTTAAAAAAGGCCCATGATTGATGGCAAAGATGTAAATAACAGTTCTTGCAGAGAATCTTAACCAAAAGGTGAGACAACGCAACTAGACTGGTGATCATGTGGATTTCTTAAAGTCCTTTTATTATCAGCAACTGCTAAAAAGGTTTTGTTAACCAAATGCATAATACATGCCATTCTGAAGTATATTATCTGCTCCTTCAGAGAGTGAGACAAGACTGGATACCTTCATGGAAGAGCTCATTTCAGATGCCTCTTTGCCGCTTGCCTCTATAACCTTCCTTCTGCAAACAGCATTTTTTCCTCTCTTTCAACTCAGGCTATGCTAGCATGTTTTCACAATCCACTTGATCTAGCTTCATTGTGTTTTTATAGCTACTAATTCACTACTTTCTGCTAAAACCAAATATACTGTAGGAAAACCCAGTCTGTGTGATGGCCAGCAGGTAGGTGTAATGTTCTGTAAACAGAATGTGGGCACCTATAACCAATTAGTATTGTTTCTTTTTATTGACTTATTTAAATCTTCCTGCTGTTTTCTAAAGCCTGGACATTTAGTATAAAATCTTTAAATAAGCAACAGAAGTTTCTCTAGAGAAGACAGTGATGTGAAGGAGTATATAAGGTTCTAGATCTATCATTTGTGATGTAGCAAAGTTTTTGCAAATAAATGGTAGATTTCAGTTTGTCATTTTCTGTACTTGGGGTGGCATAGTACCATGTTCAATAGCACAGACCTAAGAGGTAGTACAAATCTAATTGAACAATGACCTTTGAATATCAGATACACATAAATGACGAGGATAAATACAAACTGCCAAAGTCTTGCTTTATGTAGCAGGAAAAGGCAAGTGCTTTCATGTTGTAGAAAGCTACTTTTTGATAGAAAATCAATGCCAACTACTTTCATTGTAGCAATACTCTTAATTTAGTATTTGTTCTACATTTGTTCTACTTGTTTTCAGCTTCTCCTCTGGTTTTAAATTTCAGAGTTTTTCATAGCCTTCAGTTAACTCATTATTTAGAGCCATCATGTATGTGAGCATGATTAATGCTTTTATTTTACAGTTATTTCCCTTCCCTGAAGCTATTGCTGTTCCACACTGTTGACTACCTTAAAGGAGATTGTAGCGAGGTAGGGGTTGGTCTCTTTCCATGATTAACAAGTGACAGGACCAGAGGAAGTGCCCTCAAGTTGCACAAGGGGAGGTTTAGATTGGATATTAGGAAAAATTCACTGAAAGGATTGTCAAGCACTGGAACAGGCTGCCCAAGGACATACTTGAGTCACCATCCCTGGGGATTTTTAAAAGAAGTGTAGAGGTGGTGCTCAGGGCCATAGTTTCATGGGAGACCTCACATTGCTAAATTAGTGGTTGGACTTGATCTTAAAGGTTTTCCAACCTAAATGATTTTAACTTCTGATCAGTTCCCTTAACCTATATTCTTTATCACAGTTGACACAGAGGTGATCACATGATGCAGATGTCCTGCAGCATTTCAAAGTCACAAAGTATCTTTTTCTTTTATTCCCCACTAATGTACCTTCATTCTCCACTCGGTTGGCTTCCAGAAAATAATCTGATGCAAAGATAACCATTGTGAACAGGACAGTTACTTTTCAGTCATGTGCAATAGTGCCACATGTTTCGTATAATGCATCAGGACGTGTTTGAGGAAGAATTTGAATTTGTAACGTCAAACTGAGATGTTTTTCTTCTGTGCTGTCCATATATTTTCATAGTTGCTAGGAGACAATACTGGTCTTGGTGGTTTTATTACTCACTGGGTAGTCTGCCAGCTCTGGTGCCTGACTGCAGGTTTTGGAATCTGTCAGTGTGGCAGAAATTATGTGCCCTTGTTCAGACTTGTCTCTGGTTGCAGTAGCTGAGCTTCAACTCTTTGTGCTGCTCCCTCTTCCCCTTCAACTGCAGCATTTAGAAATTTCACCTTGTGTAGCAGATGCATCAGGCCAGACAGGTTGATGCCCATCCTTAAACATGAGAATGGTACCTGCATTAAATAGGATTTGTTTTCTTTTCTTCTGCTCTGTTAGCCAGCTCTTCACAGTGTAAAAAGGGACGTTTTGCCATCTAGGCCCTGATCAGTGGTTGCTTAGCTGTTTATTTTTTCTGGAGGCAGAGCACAAGCTGAACAGAAATGCTTCAGTGTGAATGCAGACTGTCAACTGGAGCATGTGAACTTACTCTAAAAATACATTCCTTTGTTATGTTGCAGGATGATATCTCTTTTGTTTGTTTGTTTGTTTGTTTTGTTTCAAAGCAGTAGCAGAACTAGGAGAGCAACCAGCACTAAACTGCAAGACAAAATGCAGCTCTCAACATCTCCAGAGCCAGAAATGGTAAGTTTTTGACTGCTATTCAAATAGTCACGGCGCTCTTTCTGTGGCTACAGCATTTCACTCCAACTGTAATTAAGTTATAAAACTTCCAGAGCATGAGAAATTTGCAGATGCAGGGTGCAGATTGTCAAAACTTTTTTCAGTGACTGCTTATCATATGCTTTTTGGAAAGCTGTTGCATCACTGTATGTAATGAATTATATTGATATTCAATTTGTACCTGACTGGAGAGGGAGTTACAGGATGCCATTATTGCTGAAATGATGATTAAATTTTTAAAAATTTTCTTGAACTCTCAGAACTTTTTGGGTATGTTTTCAGCCTTCAGGGAAGCTATTTAAAATCTGAGCAAGGTCTTCTGGCAGAGTGGGGAATTACTCGGGATAAAAAAACAACCACAAAACTAATTGTTGAATGTGTGTGATTATTCAGTTGTGATGCAGGCAAATATAACGTAATCGGATGTAGATGCTAATATCTAATCAGAGGTCAAGGGAATGCTTTCCCTATATCATTTAGTGTCATATTTCTAGAATTAAGATGCACATGCTTGTGCAAATAGCAAAATACAAATTCTTCTCCAGGCCTGTTCTCAGGGAAAGGTGAGGAAAAAAATAGACACAAAACCTGTACTTGTGTTAGATGGTTTTGAGTTTGGATTCTGAAAGGTTTGAGAGACCTTGGGGTTAACTGAGGAGGAAAACAAAAACCTTACAACTTCAAAACTGAATTTTGAGGAGAAAAATTCCAGAAGTGAGAACAAAGAGGGTTTCCAGAAATGTCCTGAAGGGGAGATATTTTGGACTGTTAATGCCTTTTGTGATTTTAAAGTAGAGTTAAACTAAATAACTTGCTGAAATAACAGCTTTTATACTCAAGTTCTAGTTATTGTCTTGGTCAAATCTAATTTTGAAGCCTGAATGACAGACAAGGAAATGAGATTTCTTACAGTTCAAGGGCATCTTCCTTAAAGAAGAAGACTAGCTTCTGCAGACTTTCATGTGTTGTTCATGCTTGGTTGTTTTGTGGTTTTTTTCTGCCTTTGGTTCTTTCACTTTTCCATAAGCTGCTGCTTGGACAGTGCCAAGTTAGTTGCTGTAGAGCCACTTTTTGGAGGAAAAGACTAAGTGCCCCTTCTCATGGCCTCTGGGCTAGGGTTAGGCTGAGGACATATGATTGAGAGTTTCTGGGAGTAGTAAGGCCGTATAGAACTCATGTGTCTTCTTAACTACAACATCCTGCAGGTCATTAGTAAGAAAAATTCTCCTTCTTCTGACTACATATCTTAATGCCCTAATTAAAGGCTTTACTCACTACCTTGTGTTTGTAGGCTACATACCCTAAGTAGAGGAATGGTGTTGCCATTAAATGGTGGGATATGAAACTGAGATCCTGCTTTTGGCTATATACAGCCCAAAGCAAGCTTCTACATTATAGCTCTTCTTAAAAAGTGATTTTGGTAGTTAAAACCCAGCAGCTGCTTGGGGATTTTTCTTTCTGTAAGAAGAGGGTAGCCTTCTTGTTAAGCCTTCCTACTTAGGATCACAGAATGCCTTGGGTTGGAAGGAACTTGTACATGTCATCTAGTCCAACCCCCCTGCAGCGAGCAGGGACATCTTTAACTACATGAGGTTGCTCAGAGCCCCATCAAGCCTGTCCTTGAATGTCTCCAGGGATGGGGCCTCAACCACTTCTCTGGGCAACCTGTGCCAGTGTTTCATTGTAAAGAACTTCTCTCTAATGTCTAATCTAAATCTATCCTGCTCTAGTTTAAAACCATTGCCCCTTGTCCTATTGCTACACACCATTGTAAGCAGTCCCTCTCCAGCGTTGCTGTAGTCAGAAGGCCTCTGTAAGGTCTCCCCATAGCCTTCTCTTTCCCAGACTGAATAACCCCAACTCAGCCTGGTTTTGTAGGAGAGGTGCTCCAGCCCTTTGATCATTTTTGTGGCCCTCCTCTGGATCTGCTCCAGCAGGGCCCACTTCTCTAACTTGTCCAGGTCTCTCTCATCCCTGCGGCATGTCAACTGCACCACTCAGCTTGGTGTCACCTGCAAACTAGCTGAGGGTGCATTTGATCCCACTGTCTATATCATTATTGAAAACATTAAACAGCACTAGTCCCAGTAGGGACCCCTGAGGGACACCACTTGACACCCATCTCCATCTGGACATTAAGCCTTCCAAAACAGTTTAAACAATCATTACTTGTGGGGATGTTTTATGTCAAATATTCTACTCGAGATATATACAGGACTTTTGTAGATACTTTTAAAGTAGCATTTACTGTAAATCACTTTAGTGATGCCTGTAAATGAGTGAAACCCACTTTAGATACAAGTGAAATGCAGCATGAACATACTTCTAACATCTCCGTGGATATGCTTTTAATTTCAGGTGAACAAAGAGAATGCTAATAAACTGTCATGCGACCCATCAAAGGGAACCTCAGAAGAAAATGTTTTTTTAAACTCTTCTACAATCACTCTGACAAATTCCATATCAGGTACAAACTATAATCCTGAAGATTGTGCTTTCAGGGATGAAGTCATTGACATAAAATCTCAGCATGTGTCACTTAGCAAGTCCTTCCTGCTTCTAAAAAGCATAAAAGAGAAGAAATTGATTGCAGAAAAACAAAATTCAAGTGTCATCCTACCAAAGAAACCAGTGCTTGGTACATATCGTGGCAAAGTTATCCAGTCCAAGATAAACTCCTTCCGAAAAGCACCCAACAGTGAGAGTGAAAAGAGTTCTTTGCCAAACAAGAAGATTCTTCCTTCTGCCACCAAACCAGCAGTAAGTTCTTTGCCCACAAGCAGCTGCAGTATCAAAGTCACAAACTACCCTAATTCTGAAAAAACATATTATGTTCTTCCATTCCAGAACAAGGCATCTGACAAAGCTGCTATCAGCTCACAGCCCGGCCTGAAGAAATGGCAACCGACATCTGCTGTAGTGCCGAAGAAAGCAACAGTGCAAAAAATGAGAGGTGGGAGAGGACCACAGCCACCAAAGGTTGCTTCTAACAGTTCTGACCGCAGAATACTAGGAGTGAAGAAAAGAGTAGATTTTTGTGAAGATGCACGATCAGAAGCTCCAGCAAAACGAATTTCTGTTGTTCCTGGTATCAAGTCAGGACAGGATTCCAAAACTGATGGCAACAGAAAATCTCTTCTGCCAAAAGAGTCAGCAGAAGAGAGAAGGTAACTGAATTACTGTCACAGTTTGATCCTGGGAAGTATTTGGACCTCCTTTCCAAATTGACCTTTCCTATATTAATCTATTTCTTGCTGTAGGTCCACTGAAAAATAAGAGAACTGAGTGTTGAATCTGATGCCCAAAGGGCAACAGACTAAAAGTGTAGAATTAGTAATGAGAACTCAGGACTCGGACTAGTTGCTGGAGCTCTTCAGGTTTACAACTTGCCCTGCATGGTTATAAATAGAAAATACGTGTATTTTCTGAGCTTTCTGGTTTTTAGGCTAAATGTTGTGACAGCCTTAACTATAACAGATAATCCTGTAAGTGAATTGCACATGCATGCCCCTGTTTAAAAAATGAAAAAAAAGACTGATACAGGATGTATAAGTGAGCATGTTTACAGATTGAAGGAAATCACTTGTCAGTGATATGTTTTTCAGCTTGGTGAACACAGTTTAAGATGATGGGATGAAGGTTCATAATCTAAAAGTTACTTAGTATTCTTAGTAGTGCTCCTGGTAGAATGTCACCTTTACTAAAAATTGGGGATCTAGAGGGATAGGATTGAAATGAAATATATATGAAGGCTAAATTACACTTATACATCAGTTTCAGATTTTAAAAGCTGCTCTCCATACTTTATGTCCATAGAGAGAGAGAGTTTTCTGGTCTGAAGTGGGATTTTGGAAGAGAAGGTGGCTCAGATGAATAAATCAGAAGCATTTTTTACTCTTTCTTGGAAAAAGAAAATGGTCTGTAGCCTAAACATCTCTTTGCTGATGGAAAAGGAGAGATTAAAGTGTTCTGGCCAGATCGATACCTAAAGCAGATAGTGATATCCGTGGTTCTGAAATTTCCATGCAGGTCTAAATGGCAGCTGTATTCCTTTTAGGATTAAAGGGAGAGGACTTGAGGACTATCTGGAAAGTACATCTTTGGATGACTTCCCCTAGTTAGTGTCAGTCAATGTTAAAAAAAAAAAGATAAACCATCTCTCACTTCAGCTAATCACTTTTAAATGCAGAGCTCGCCTGGATGAATGGAGGGCATCTAGAGGGAAAGTGATGAGGAGACCTCCTGCATCTGTGCTTCTGGGACCCCAGTCTAAAAATGAAGAACAAGAATTTTCTGGTGATTCTTTACAGCATGTGTTACACAGTGAAAAGGTCAACAAGACTCTTGCAGAATGTCTGCAGTTAACCAAACAGGTACTCGGCCCCTTGCCTACCTAGCTCCAATCGTAGAGGTCCCTACAACATACAAATCCTAGGGATCTGCTGGACCTGTGAATCAGATGCAGGAGACTAACTGCTCTCCTAGTAAAGCGATATCATAGCTTTTTGCTGACACCTGAAGAAATTAGTTATCACTTAGGCTTTATTAACTCACTGAACTACCCGATAAGATTAGGCAACAGTGATAACACAGTAAGTAGAAAAGCTATAATGTAATGAGAGTAGCCATAAAGCAATTAATTGAAAACAAGTTTGCTTTTGTAGAAACTTGCCTGGACTTCTGAAAATGTCTGTTTTAAGTAGTTCTGAGGAGGTCTGCATTCTACTATCCCTTCTACTTACAATACTGTATAAATAATTCTAATTTGGAAGAATAGGTGAATGGCAGTTCTTCTGCCTCAAGTTCATAGATCAGTCTTGGAAATACTTGCCATCTTCAGCCTTCTGGGTTGCTCTCCAAAGAAAGAGAAACTCCTTGCTTTACAGTTTAAACCCAGATAGAATGTGGCATCTCAAAATGTTCACGGCATTTAAATCTCTGCTGTTGTGTTGACTTTAGGGATGTCAAGGCGATGAAGTACGTGCCATGTTGAAAGATCTGACAAAGAGCGTTCCTGGGGCTAAAAAGCTTGCAAAATACTGGATCTGCTGTATGCGTCTGGAGCAGACGAGCCCTCTTGAAAAGATTATTGCTGTCTATGAGGAGGCCATTCTGGCAGGAGCAATGGTGAGCATCTTGTCTTGAAGATTGAGATGAACAAATACAAAGGCATGAAAGTATCGTGTATAAAATACAACTCCTGATTTTAATGAATTCTTTCACAGTAGGAAAGCCATGTGACCTACTTGAACATTGAAAAAAAATAATTGCTCTGTAACTGCTGTACATACTACTGTCAAGAAGTTTAGGAACATCAAAATATCATAGGATGTTCTACCTAGAAGAAATTAAGGACTGAGACTTCTAGTATTGCTAGAAACTCAGAAGAGAACTTAAATTTATTGATGAGTTTAATTTCTGTGCTTTAATATCAGCAAGATTTCAGGGCATCAAATACGGAAAATAAAGGATTGTCTTATGTTCTGACTTATGTCTGAACAGGATTTAATAAAAGATTTGTAACATGAGTGTCATGTGCTTTGTACCATGTTCCCTTTAACTGCTATACCAAATGAGCTGAAATGATGATTTATGTTGGAATTGTTTTTCTGAAACGATACAACTTTTGTTTCAGCCTAGGGATGAACTACGACACACACTAATAGATAGTATGAAAAACGCTGAAAGCCTTTTTAAGTCTGAGGATGGTAAGTCTGACTACTCTAAACGTCTGGCTGACAGGGAAGACAAGCTGTTGAAATTATTTGTGCCTATACTAAATTCTATTTCATGGTAACTTCTCTGTGATCGTTTTGCACTCAATTGTCTTTGAAAACAACCTTGACTAAACTAATACTTTTCAGCTGTAGGTATGTTCAGATGAGTAGTGGAGATGCTTTAATATTCAGGCTTTTAACTTAAGCTGAACATTTATTTGATAGAGTTATTTTATTCTGATAATAAAAGTGAGCTAGAAAATCTCGTGAGCTAGAAAATCAGTTGCTTCTGACATATAAACTCCTTCACTAGCAGGTGCATAGTTGTGTTAGGGCATAGTGTTAATTAGAGGCGGTAAATTTTCCAAATTTGAAAGCAAAGTAGCCATATACATTCCCATTCAGTATAACATAACCTGAGAAGTGTTTGGTCCCAGAAACTGGCTGAAGTACTTGTTCAGGGTGGCTGCACTTGGGAAGGAAGAGAATGACTTCTCAGGGTGTACTCAGGCTGAGTTTTCAGGTTGTAGATTCTTTAAGGTGACTAAAATTATTAGTAACTTAAATTGCTTAGCCTCAACACATAATCAATTTTCATTCTCATGTAAAACTTTTAAGATTTTGAAGATCTCTAAAATATTAACTCCTCTTTAGTTGTAACTAATCACAGCTGTACTTTCTTCAATATTTCAATTTTAGGGGGAACTGTGATAAAAGCTCATTTAAGTGAGGTAGTGGAAGACAGCAAGGAACCACATTCACCTGTAGAACAGATTCAGGGAGCTTTTAAGGATCTCAGCTATGATGATGAGCAGAAAACAGAGAGTGATGACAAGAAGGCAGAGACTATCAGTGAAGTGATCAAAACAGAATTGGATTTAGACTTGAAACCGACAGAAGAGATCTTGCCAAAAAAGAATAAAAAGCACAAGACTAAAGAACGTACGAAAAAGAAAGGAAAATGTGAAACAGAAGAGCAGAAGGAGGATGGGATAAAAGATATGCCCCAAGCAGTTCATTCTCCTGAGAAGGAGAATGACACACCTTATTTAATGAAATACAATCCATCTACCGCACCATACTTGGAAAGGTAAGATTATTTCCGGTAGCTATGAAAGGTTTGCAGCACCTGGGGCAAGAGCAATGTTTCTGTCCTGTTGAAACAGGGAGGGACTGCATCTGCAAACATCTAGTTAAAAGCTCTTGAGAACTTAGCTTTTTAGGATTGCTTCTTCTTCCTTCAGAACAAAGTCTGTGTCAAAAAAAAAATCCTTTATTTACTCAAATTGTTTTGATTTTCGAATGTCTTGCTACCGAGTAATCAAACCTCTTTGTGACAGAGACACAAACTCCAGGTTTAGGATCCCTTCCCAGAGCCCATGTAGCAGTTCTACACTGAGCCAGGTAAAGAGAAGGTAGGCGTCTCCAGTCCTCTCCCTTTCAAATCCAGATGTGGTTGTAAGTCATACACAAAGAAGTGAACATGGTGTAACTGTCCTGTCAAGCTTTATCCTAATTGCATCTTGAGGCAGAAATCTGGGTAGTAATTTCAGGACAAAGTAGGTAACGTGTAAATTCTTTTTTTGCCACAAAGTTTCTTCTCTGATAGCAGACTTAGGAAAGGTGTGCTCAGTTTTGGCATCTGATGAAGCTGGACTCCTTGCAGCTGTCTGCTATCGCTCAGAGCAGCAAGATCAGTTTCTCACTGATGGAATAGGGTGAATTTTCCTTTGGAACCTTTTCAAGAGGTTTTCCAGATTAAAATATTTTGCCCAAGAAAAGAATTGTACATCTGGTTTTAACTGTATGAATGGGAAAGGGCTTGCTTCCAGTTTCCTTTGACTATGGGAATCGGAAAGAGTTGAATAGAAATCATGACTTGCTGTTTCTGCTAGATGCTACAGATGTAATTTGTATGATGATGTGTCTACGTTTAGTGATTTTTTTTCTTTTTTTTTTTTTTAATTTATTTTTTCCTAAGTGTGAAGATGAGCCATGAGGTGAATGACTCCAGTGCTAAAATTGTAACCCCTTTGCGATACTCCCAACGCATTCGGGAGAAGATGTGCAAGCTGTCGGATACTGTTCAAGATCCATGTATCTCTTCATTTGACCAGCTGGGAGAATTGGAATTAAAAGTCACTGCATCAGTCCACAAACAAAGCAATGCGCTCCAAGAAACAAGTGTTGAAGTAGAAAAGTAAAAAGCAACACTATTGCTACATGGGGGTTAAATATTGGATCATCTTAAGGGGAATTGAGGGAGTGTTTGTTTTTAGCAGCTTTGAAAGAGTAGCTATGTAAAACTTACATGGATTTCTTAAGATGAAATTTGACTGCCTGAGTCACTAAACTTGATTTTATGAGTTCCTGCCTTTTCAAAATTGTGGTAAATCTGGTCTGGTTTAGTACCTTATAAACATCAGTGTTTTCATGCTAAATATGATTTATTAAATACTGAATTAAGGACTAGGTTTAGTACTTCATGTTACAGTTTGCTTGTATATTGCTAATATCTACTGTTTTCTTGTTGCAATTCCTATAAATTCTTTAGAGTTGCACGATTTAACTTGTAGTTTAAAAAACAAATAATGTAGGCATTCCAATAGAACACTGTCTACTACAGCAACATTTAATTTTGAAAACTAAAACTAGCTAATAAGGTGTACACTAGGTTTAAACTGTTGTATCTGTTTTTAGGGGGTACTTCAACAAAACTGAATTTATTCCCTTTAGTTACCAGGATTATTCATGAGCAAGTCAGATGAGGTCTTGCATAAGGTCTAATACACTAATAACTATTTGACTGTTCTAATGTCGGTCTGCATTAGTCTGTGACATGGTAGACTTATTAAACTAATTAACTGAGTTGTGTTTGTTCTTTATTTATGAGTTTTAGGCTGGAAATTAATTGGAGAACATGACTATAGGCTGAAACTCTGAAAATTATTTTAGTCTATTCTTGGAAGTGAACTATCAAAGCAGAATATTGTGATTTTTCCCATTCAGCAGAAGCCAAGTATTTCCATATCTTCAGTATGTAAAGTTTACGTGAACTGGGCTTGTTTAGTCTGGAGATGATGAGGCTGAGGGCAGACCTTATTGTTCTCTATAACTGCCTGAAAGGAGGTTGTAGTGAGGTGGGTGTTGGTCTCTTCTCCCAAGTAACAAATGATAGGACGACAGGAAGTGGGCTCCAGTTGCATCAATGGAGGTTTAGATGGGATCTTCGGAAACATTACTGAAAGAGTGGGGCTGCAAAGGGAAGTGGTGGAGTCACCATCCTTGGAGGCATTAAAAAAACACGTAAATGTGGCATTTCAGGGCATGGTTTAGTAGTCGTGGTAGTGTTAGGTTGATGCTTGGTCTTTATTTTAGAGGTCTTTTCCAACTTTAATGATTCTATGATTCCATGAGGTGTAACTTCAACCTTAGCTGAGCATTCCTTGGATCTCAGGAAACACTTCCTTACAGAGAGGGTGCTCAGGCACTGGGATGCGCTGCCCAGGGAAGTGATGGAGTCACCGTCCCTGGAGGTGTTTAAGGATGTGGCACTTAGTGCCGTGGTCTGGCCGATGTGGTGGTGTTGAGTCACAGGCTGGACTTGATGATCTCAGAGGTCTTTTCCAGCCTCAACAATTCTGTGATGCAGGTATCACTGTTAAAAAGACCTTGGTCCTTATGCCTAACTAGAAACTTTTGTTTGCAGCAGGGGCACAGTCTTTGCATCTAACAAGAAACTAAACCGTGTACTATTACACCACACTTTCTTCAGAGAATGCTCTTGATCCCTGACAAGCACATTCAACCATCCCCATGTATGACAAGAAGTAACCCTGGAGTATCCCATGGATAACTATGTATGATAAGGAGTAACCTTGTCCTCCTGACAAGGAGTTAACCCTGGGTAACTCAAGATACCCTGAGTAACCCAGATTTAACTGCTGCATTTTGTGGTTCATCCGATGGGGGCAGGTTTTGCGCTTGTCATGGGCAGTGATGGGCTGCGTGGCCCCTGCGAGTGATTTTTATTTTTGAAAATTCTATTTTTAACATGGAAGCGTGAAGTGGGAACTCTGTTTTGTTTTTCCCAGCACTGAAACCGAAATACTGTAAATCGTTCTACGACGGCACAGTTGAGGCCTTTCTGTCATGGCCGCACTCGGCGCTGCCTCAGAGGCCGGGTGGGACCGGGGGAAGCGGGCGGG